GAATTAGTGTTGTGGTTTGGGTTGTTCTTTCCTCTTCCCGCACTGGGGTAATAGCTACTGACTGTATCAATGAAAGATCGTATTTCCTTTTCATATTTTCGTGCCTTTTAACTTGTTCTCTCGTTTCCTTTTCTTCCAAGTGTCCTACATTGTGGAAACCATTGTAAAATGATGTGCACCTTGTTTTTCCGTTATTTAAGCAAAATAAACAAATTACATACATACTTTTTGATGGTTGGAATTTTTTAAATTTCTGAATAGCCTTTTATTTTTGCATTTATGTCTTAATAGGGTTTATAATTTTCTTTGGAAGTATGGAGTTTCTTATTATGTACTTGTGCATGTCGTATGAAATATGTGGTTGGTTTTTGTGTCATTCTGAGCTCTACAGCCTTTGTTATACTGATGTAATGACCAAGCTAGCTTTTGGTTTTTAGTCTTGTCCAAATTTTGTTCCTTGAAACTAAGTTTTGGCATAAAAGAGTTTTTCTTGTTGAAGTCTCAGTTATGTTCTTATTTTAAATGACTCGTCCTACTTAGGTGCCAATACTTAAGCAATGCAGTTCTACAAGCAAAAAATGCAAACAGTAGCAAGGGGTTGGCAGGTTCTACTCCTGATACCTTTGACAATGGACTGCTTGAACAGCTCGAAGGGAAACTTGCTGTCCTTCGTTTCCAGATGAAAATTAAGGAGGAGCTGGAGGCTTTAGCTTCAAGAATAGAAGCCATGCCGAGTACATCTAATTCTGTCCAAAATGAAGTGATCCCAGATAGAAGTTTGGCTGCTAATTCCAGTATTGCAAATACTGCTCGGCAAAAGGCCAAAGAGCTGTCATTGGAATTAAAGACTATAACTCAGCTATACAATGAATATGCCATTCCATTTGAGCAATGGGAGGTAATTATTTGGTTTTTTTGTTTTAACTTCATCGAATTATATGATTTGCTATTCTCTTTCTTTTTATGTTTATTCTTAATCCATTTGTGGTGAATTCTTTTATATCCCCGCTCATAACTTTTTGGGTAAGGTTTTCTGAACCGAGTTCAGGTCAATTTTGATGGTTTGGTGTAATAAATATTTGATGGGCAGGCATTGAATGCCAAATTTGTAGACAGAAAATTGTTGATATGGATGGGAGGGGGGCCACGTGCGAGTATAATGAGGGGAGAGTCCAATTAGGCAGGGTGAATAATGGATTATGGAAGTAACATTGAAATCCCCCCCAAGAATTCAGTTATCATCACATAGAATTTAAGAGCTTTTTGTGTGCTTTTAGTGAATAGAATATATATATATATATATATATTTTTTTTTTTGAGATATTAAATCCTTGCAAGTTAGAACATTGCATGTTTTACCCCTTAGATTCAACTTTTGGGGAATGTAACGGGAATTGCCGATGTCGTAGAAGTATTATCTGCTTGCTCGCTAACCTTATTATTTTTAATGTGTTATATTAACATTTTAAATTTGTATTAATGAAAAAACTTACTTGTGAGGGAACATGTACTTTTCTAACGGGTAAGTATTTATGATTTAAAAAAAAGGAATAACCATGCATGAGACTTTAAGTGTCGAGTAAATTTTAGGATGTATTCAAATCAAGATTGGGAATAATTTATGGATTCTTATGTTAAATTGCTCTTCTTTATTCTGTCTGATGATGGATTTTCTACTTGCGGCTTTCAGATATGTTTGGAAATGCTGTACTTTGCAAACTATTCTTGTGATGATGATACTAGTATTGTCAGAGAGACTTGGGCTCGGCTAATTGACCAAGCTATTTCTAAGGGTGGCATTGCCGAAGCTTGTTCAGTATTGAAAAGGGTTGGCTTCCACATTTATCCTGGCGATGGAGCTGGAATACCTTTAGAGACTCTCTGTCTTCACCTTGAGAAGGCTGCATTGGTATGGTTGTGTATGTTAAGACATGTTTGATAATATTTTGTGGCGATTGATTGTAAATTGTAGTTATAATTTTCTATTCATGATGTTATTGATATACCTATGATATCAACTCTTTCTTCTTGTGATGTTTATCTTTATACAGGAGAGATTGGCTTCAGGTGTTGAATCTATTGGGAACGATGATGTTGCAAGAGCCCTTATTGCTGTTTGCAAGGGTGCAACCGAGCCAGTATTGAATGCTTATGATCAATTGTTGTTAAATGGTGCGATCCTGCCATCACCCAAACTCAGGTTACGCCTCCTTCAATCTGTGCTTGTGGTACTCCATGAGTGGGCCATGTCCATATCTTCACAGACTACGGGTAGAAGTGCAACTGGAGCATCTCTAATTCTTGTTGGAAAATACTCTTTGGATCAAATAGCTATTGCCAACCAAGGTGTTCGGGACAAGATAGCCAGTGCTGCCAACAGGTTAACTTCATGATTTTCTTTTGCTCGTTGATACTCATTCTGCTTTATAGAAGTTTTTTTGTAATAATTGTTAGTTTGATATATGTAATCTTATTTGTCAAAGAGAAAACTAGGAGATTTTCTTTGCTTCGCAATTTTGTGGAGAATTTGGCTTGAGAGAGATAACAAAATTTTAGGGGTTCAAAAAACTTGGGAGGATGTGCGGGATCTAATTAGATTTAACACTTATTTATGGGCTTTGGTTTCAAAGGTTTTTTTTTAATTAGTAGTTAGGTGTGATTCTTTTGGATTGAGTCTCCCTTTAGGTTTTCTTTAGGTTTTGGTTCATTTAGTTTGACTATTTTTTTTTATACTTTTGTATATATATTTTTTCATTTTTTGAATGAAATTCGATTTCTTATAAAAAAATTTCTGTAACCAGTCTAAATCAATATCTCAGCATGTTTAAAAGGAAAATATTCAAGTTATTAGTGTGTTAACTTTACTTCTGAACTTTTGTAACAGATATATGACCGAGGTTCGTAGGTTAGCACTTCCACAGGACCAAACAGAGGCTGTATATCGAGGCTTTCGGGAGCTTGAAGAGTCACTAGTTAGTCATTTTTCTTTTAATCAATTTTGATTTATCTTTGTTCCATATAATCTCTGTTGTTGTACCAAATATTTGAGATTTAAATTGATTTGTCCAAGATACAAGGGTAGATTTTTCGTGGCTGAAAAGTGACTTCTGTAACCCTGTACTTGATGTGCAATGTGCAATGTAATATCATTATAAGGTACTCGATGCAATGTGAGGTTAAATAATAGAAACTACCAACTTGTGTTGGCGTTTCGGTAAAGCTATCATAATTTTGTCTGTATGAACCGCTACTCATCATTGGGAAAACGAGAGGTAGTAACATTTCTTTTTTCACAGGTAAATGGCTTTAACATATGTTTTATACAGAGATAACAAAAGGAGGATAGCATTATAACTTGTGCCATTTTCTTAAATGTAAATGTTATCTCATTACTTAATTGCAGACCTCATTGCTGCTTCACTTGAAGTATGTTTGGTGTTACTTTAGTACACAGGTAGCTGGCCCGGGCATCTACGACGAATGTTTCAACCATCGAGGATGTTATGGTTGCTGCACATCTGCTCGAAATTTACAACATTGGTAATGCTTTTGTGTGTGTGTGGATGTAAATATTTGATTCATCCATAGTTAGTATCATTCCTATCCATCATGTTTGTTTGTGCCTGGAAATGCATTTCAGTAGAGTAACTGTTATGAGTTAGATCACCTTTTGAGAAACTCGGGGGCTGATTTGGCAGTGTGAGAGTTTTGAGCTCAATTTTCATTTGAAGCATATTATGTAATACGGACAAATGGCTCGAGGTCGAGGGCGTTGTAACGGTAAAGCGTTCCAAGTAATGTTGATGGTAAATTTCATATTGTACATGGAGCAATGAAGGCATCTGATTGTTTCATTGTATGTGATTTTTCATCTTTATAGAACCTGTGGTTTGTTTTTTTTTTTTAATTATATTTTGAACAGTTAATGGAAAAATAGTCCAGATTTGGAGGTGGAACTGACCCTCTAAAATGAGAGACTAATTGGTTTCTGTTTCCACTTTTTCCATTTTATAATGCATTCAACTGAAGTTAGTTCCATACACACAAACACCAACAAAATTAATAAGTCACAATCATGCCTTCCTTGGAACCCTCGTGAATTTTGTACCAAACTTTTTTTTTTCTTTTTCTCGTGATTCATTCAATAAACGTGAGAATAATACTTTTTAAAACAAAATTTCAAATTGAAAGTTTACTAGAAAGTCAAAACTGCAGCTCGAATATTGAATTTGATGAAATTGAAAGTTATGAATTCTTTTCATTTATTTATTTGAATATATGTTTGAATTATTAAAATATTGATGTTTTTTTTCAGTACTATTAAAATATTAATGTTCATAGATATGTTTAAAAGAATTATAAAAATCATAAACAAGTATCTAACTTAATGAATATTTTGTCAAAGTATTTTGTGAAATAATGGAAATATCGATTTACCTTTTTCTTCTCAGAATAAAAGACTAAACAAACAAATTACAAAAAAAAGTAAAGTAAAAACTAAAGTTTTACTCGCTACGTCTAGCATGGTTTGCGGTTTGCTAAAATGTTGGCCACTTCGTTTCAATCTCTTGAGGTGAGATTGAAAGTCTTCGCTTTCCTATATTTTCACAAGTCTTTGATTTTACCAATGACAGGTTGAATTTCATTATCAAAATGATATTTACCAATTATTAGACTTCGGACAATTTTAGAGTCGATTTCAACTTGCAATGAACGAATTCCTAAGTTTTGAACCAGAATTATTCCCTCTCTCAACATCATCGTCTCCATCAGTTCAACCGAGCCTAGTGGCTACTAGAGACGAGTTATTCTATAGCTACCATTACCTCCCCCATGTGGTTGCAAATAATTGCCCCATATCCAAATAACTCCTTTGAAATGGATGCATTTGAATTAAGCTTATATGTGAGTTCTTCGAGTGTATTATGCTTTAACCAACAGATTAACAATACAATCTGACCCAACAATTCCCAAAGGAGTGTATCAACTAGAACAGAAAGTTCAAATAACAGAAGTAATTGGCTAAATTGAATAAAGTTTTTGATAATCGAAGGTATTTTGAGAAGTACCAGATATGGAAGATTGTGCTACTGGATCCCTGCTCACAAGAAGAAGCGAAGACACTGTAGGTGGAGATGAATCAGAAAGGACAAATGTAAGTCCTTTCTCTTCAATTAGAGGTCTACCAGAAACAGAGTTGGCACCAAATGTAAGTCCTCCACCAACACCTAGAGGAGGAGAAGGCCTCGTAGCCACAACTTTCAAACAACTTGGCCTCTGATGGCTGGAACTATATGCTCCCAAGTTTCCATTTGATGGTGAAGTGGTCAAATACATCCTTCTACCATCTGATAGAACGGCTAGAAGGTGTAAAGACTTTGATTCGAGCGTAGACAAGAGTGAAATGCAGACAATAGATGGCTTTGCTGATTGATTTATAGCTCTAGGTCCTTTTGCTTGTCTACCTCCATAAGATCCATTTCTCTGATTGACCAGATTTCTTTCTTCTGCTACTTTCTTAAGGGGTCCATCACCATTGGGTCCTAACACAAATACTTGAACTTTCATTTCCTCAGTTCTTGCATACAAAATGCATCTTTCGCTATCATATATCATTTCGACAATGGGATCAACAGCTCCAAAATTGAATACATTTGGCACAACCCATCTGAAGGTACCACGCAATTGAGGTTAGTGTAGAAACCTTGAAAATTCAGATGCCACTAGAGAAGTAAAATGCTGCAAGGACATTCATTAGATAGTAACCTTATTCATATACAGAGCACTAATTTGTCAGTTTGAGATGCTCAATGTCTTTTTGGATAATGAACAACCCTTTCCACTAGATAATGCAAACGAAAGAAAGACTAGTAGTCCAACCATACAAATTTATAAAATAATAAATAGATAAATATAGAAAATAAAAACTTAAAATTATTGCTTCATATCACGAACATGCCAACAAACACAAATATAAAACCATCAATAAGGAGACTACGATTATGAACTTTTATGAATTTAATTCCACAAGATACCTTGATATCACACTTCCTAAACCAGAAGTAAGGCAAATTTTACGACATCGTTTTTGCCAACCAGAACCGGATGTGTAAAGAAGCTCATAAATGTTGCCATCACGGCCGGCCAACAGAATTCATCCCTTGTCAGTGCAAGTGATACATGTCATAGTGACTCCATCTGATGTTATAGTATACTCCGGCAAAGGCTGGAGTGAAATCTCTGCATATGGATCTGTACCATCAGCACCACCAGAAGAGCATACACCTACAAGAATCAACTGGTAACAAAAAGATGCTGAGAAGAAACAATGGAGCTTTTTTTTTTGTGGACAAGGAAGGATGAAACTATTGACAAAAGAAAAATCTAGGGAGCAATTAGAGCAGTTAAGGAAACATTAGGACTTCGCCACAATCTTTATCATATGCCTTGAGCTCAATGAAAGATACAATTAGATGATGAGGCAAACCAAACAAAACAGAGTAGGAGAATTGATAAGCATTTTGTACACAGATCTATTTGCATTGAAGTGTGTCAATATTTTCAAATCAGCTTTAGCAGCAAAACCTAGTGTAAGTAAAAAAACTGAAACACTGTTGGAGTCAAGTTTCGTCTTTGTTGGTAACTTACATAAATTTTCTCGAGCATGTGCGTAAGGTTTTTATCTTGCAAGTAGTTATATATAGCTCAAACAATGCACAAACAAACTCAAAAAGTGCAGTCACATAGTTGAAGTCAATTAAAAGAAGTCAAATCCACCGTCCAGTATGTGAGCAAATCTTTGGTGTATTATCATTCATATGTGTGAACCAATGTCTTTGTAGGTGCAAATTAAGAGAGTAAATGTGTCATATGAAGTTTTATATAGCTCACACGTGTGAGCCATTCACTCAGGGATGCTAGAGGTGCACCCACTATAGAACATAGAACAAAAGTACAGAAAACAATGCAATCTATAAATAATTTACATAGGCTTCATTCAAGGAGGTCTCAAAACACTTAAAAAAGGGACTTATCCAAGAAAAATGAAAAGAGTTTTCAAGAGCAGAGAAGAAGCATTGAATTGGAGACACTAAAAGTGTTGGAAAAACATGATTTTGGATACATTTTATGAGATATTACCTAGTGAGTCTTGCATCTTGGATGAATTAATATGATGAATGACCAACATGAGCATAGTTCAGTGATAATTGGTTTGGTACTTACTCTTTTCATTTGAGGTCAGAAGTTCAAACTCCCATACTCTCAAATTGTAATACTAAAAAAAAGAAAAAATTAATACGATGCTTGAGTTAAAATGCATGCTTTAATATATGGTCGATGATTATCATTCAACTAAAATAATGTTTTGAATGTTTGGAATGAGATTGCGAAAGGCATTAGATGATAATACATTTATGAAAATAAATATAGTCATTTCATATTGGTTGAGTTAAAAATCCTAGACTCGTTTATTAAGAAAAGTCTTAAGAGTTATTTTAGGCATGGATTAGGTCTAGGATGCGACCCATGATTTTGACATATGTTGGGTTGAAATTAATAAGACGTTTTTTTTTTAGTATAACATGTGGAGGAACTCACAACGAATGAATTAGGTCTATTTGGTCCCTCAAGTTTCAAAATTGACATTTTTGGTCCTTAATTTTGAGAAATGGTTCTAAATGGTCATTTGACCGTTAGTTGACCATTTGTGATTTTCTCTCTCTTCCTCTTCTCTCTCTCCTATTTCGACCAATGTTATCGTTGCCACCGCTAACCCACCACCCGCCGTCGTCGTTGGCGCACTTTCTCCATCTGTTGTCATTCTGTGCCGTTTACACCGACGAGAGGACAGAGAGGGAGACCTCCTCCTCTCGCGGCCGACTGTGCAGGGGAAGGGAGGCTCCCTCTCTCCATCGTTCCAGATCTGGGACAAGGGAGAGAGGGAGACCTTCCCCCCACCGGTGACTTTGAAGGAAAAGGGAGGTCTGCCTCTCTCCTTCATTCCAAATCTGGAAGGAGGAAGAGAGGGATACCTCCTTCTCTTGCTGGAGACTAAGGATGGGAGACGTCTTCCCTATGCTCAAGTTAGAAAAAAAAATTTCCTCATCTCAATTTCTAGTTCCCGTATGTTTTCTCTTGAGATTCTGTATATTGTATTGCTAGGTCAGTATTTTGTATACTATGTTTTAACTTAGCAAAATTTTGACTTTTTTCTTTTAAATAACCTAATTCCACCTCTAAATATCTGTTAACTCACTAAGTATCATATTATATAAACTTGTCAATTTAACGAAAATTATATTATTTAAAAATGTTAAACCATAAAGAACCAAATTAGAACCTTTTCAATAATAGAAACTAAATTGAGAAAAGACCCAACATACATTTAACCTACTATTCACGGACTAAACAACACAAGAAAAACTTCTCATACGAAACTAAGAAAATGAGTTTCTAATAACCCTGGTTTTATTACAAAAGTAAAAGTGCTACACCTTGAATATAAGAGGCTGCTAATTGCCTGAATGCCTGATCAACAGATTCTTAATCTCTCCCAAGTACCTATATGTATACACACTATACCCCAAAATAACTTAATCTTTCCCATATTAGATGAGATTCTGCACATGAAAAATGAATAAACTAAGAGAGATCTCATAATTTCAATTTCAAACTTTCACACTAACCAGAGTTTTTCTGTGCACTTTGTATCAAATAATCCAAGGATCGGCTGATTAAATACCTGAATGAAGAATGGTAGTAGCTTGAGGAATGTAATCCTGGAGCCCAACAGCCGAACACAATGTATGAAATCGCATAACACTGTCTAACGACCCGCTCAGCTAGAATAACTAATAGAGCAATAAGCTTTGTCCCTTTCTCATTTGCAACATGAGCTCAAAATTCTGTTCAGAAGAATATCTTGATAATCAATCATGTTAGGAGCAGCGTTTCAACATCTCATTGATAACATCCTTGTATCAAATAGTAAGAATGCACATCAAACGCAGGTGCCGTGCATTTGTAATTAAATTATACAACCATCCAGCATAACGAAAATTGTTTGCCACGATTGACTGTTCAACCAGTTTGTAAATTCATTTTTCGTATTTCCACGGTGATACTCCTTGACATTAAGCCTCTCTCTGCAACATGATCCCAGAAGAGATGCAAGATGCGGTTGTCGCATCCGTAAGAAGCATTGAAACATCTATAAATCTTGAGCGTTACCATTAACCTTCTTTTCGTCATTTCGCATAGCATCCCTAATGCGAGATTTGACTTCCCCTCTTTCCAGTAAGCATAAGCGAGACTTGTGTATATCACACTGTCTCCTGATATACCTCTATGTTCCATGGAGTGGTATATTTTTTCGGCATAGCCAACCTTTTCTTTGTGACACAACCTTCTTATTAGTGCCCTACAAACTGATACATCAACACAAGTACCTCTTGTCAAAAACTCATCTAGAAGACTTATGATAGCTCCTTCATTTCCTTGTTCACAGTAACCATCAACTAGCCACGAATATGTACAATAAGCGGGACATAATCCTACATCGAGCATGCTAAATAAGACCTCTTTGGCACTTTCCATATCCCTTACCCGACAAAACCCGTGAATCAGCGCCTTGTATGTGAAGCTGTCGAGCTGCAGTCCAGCATCCAACATTTTGTTCTTCACTTTCAATGCAGACTTCATATCTCCTATCTTGCAGTAAGCATTTATTAGTGTGTTACAAGTGACATTGTCAGGTTCAACCTTCCGCTCAGCCATCTCATTCAAGAGCTTATTCGCATCCCTTATTCTGCCTTCCTCGCACAACTTTCGGAGAATAGAATTATAAGTCACAACTCCAAGGTGCAAGCCCTTAGCTTCCATCACCTTACATAATCTCAGTGCTTCTTCAAGATCATTCACTCTACAATACCCGTCAATTAACGTGGTGTACGTGACATGATTGGGAGAAGCATCCTTAATTTCTCGGAAAAGTTTCACCGCCTCTCTCATCCTGCTCTCTTTACAAAACCCATAGATAAGGGCATTATACGTTACAATGTCAGGTCTTATTCCTCCCCTCTCCATTCTATCTTGAACACACAAAGCTTCATAATGCATACTCTTTTTTGAATACAAAGATATCAATGTGTTATATGTGTAAAGATCAGGAAAAACAGATTTCAATTCCATTTCGCTCAAAATTTGTTCTGCCTTTTCAACATCCCCAGACTTGCAACAAGCATGAATTAGCACATTGTATATATGAATATTAGGAAGAACTCCAATTTGAACCATTTTCTTATAAATCTTCCATACCATGTCCGTTAATCTATCCTTTGCCAGAGAATTTAAAAGTACAGTACAAGCATGTAAATGAGGCCTAATCCCATGAAGCCTCATATATTCAAGAACCTGAATAGCATCCTGGGACATCTTGCAATTCACATATATTATCATAAGCCAGCTAAAAATATGCGCATTGACATCAGGGTTATCACAAGTGGTTGCCAAACAATTTAAAACTGATGGGGAAGACATAAAATCCTTACGTGCAATATTTTCAAGCAAATTTTGTGCAGTTTTGAAATGCCTGTGCTCTGTGAGAATGCAAACCATGGTCCATGAGGATTGCAAAGAGTGTTTATAATCAGGAATCAACTCAACCCACTTGAAAAACGCCCAAGAAAGTGAGGGACCTGAACAATAAAACGAGAGCCGAAAAAGAATCTGGTGGATGGATATTGATGTCAGGCTAGAACTAATCTTAGGCTTCAAGAGGTGCTTCCAGTGACCTTTTACGACAATCGCAAATACACTTTGAACAAAGAGATTCGTCTCGCCGCTAAGCGAAACTAAACCGGCCATTCTTTTCAGAAAGTGAAAACGGAGTACAGAGAGCAGTGAGGTTTCGTATAACGTTGTCTTGTTTTCAGAATATGGCAATTAATCTTCAGTATCACAAAATTCATATAATGAAATTTTGAACATAAATGTGTAGAACACCAGCAAATCCAAAAATTCAATCATGCCGATTTCAAAACTTGACGTTCATGATTGAATTTGAAACGAATGCAGGAAATCAATCTTTCTCAAAGCCTGGCAAACGAAATCCGAAATATTTTGGCCTGTTCTAAGTGGAAACAAAACATTCTGATTATCCATTTTCAATCCCTACAGATGATGATACTCACCCATACCACTTGCGAACCCAGATCGGCTAGAACTCACATCCATGGCGGCCTGATCTCCAGCGTTAACTTCCTCCTGACTGATCGCCGCTGCGTGCTACTGCTGGTCGTGGTGTAGAAACGGCGAGAGAGAGAGAGCGATGTGGGGCGGGTTCGGTTCGAATTACTACCGAACCCGACGCATAACTATTCAGGTCGGGTCGGTCAGTTTCTAACCCGTATTCCGTGCTTCTCTCCGTTTGAAGATCCGACCGATCCGGTGAAAGATTGACTTTTTAGGTTTTCTTTTTTTCCCTCCTTCAATATCTGCTGGCGTCCACTTCAAAAAAATAAAATAAAATTCTGCTTCTGCATACAAATATTGTTGTAATTTGTTTTTTTCTTCTTTTATTAATTTAAATTAACTATGAAATTAAAGCGCACTGATCTTTAATCCCTTTTTAATTTAAACTTAAAGGAAACTTAAATGTGTCTACCTCTCAAAATCTAAACCAAATCAATTTTTTAAATTTACACTTAAATCCACCTTTTTTAATTTAATTTTTTATTATTATGTTTAAACTTATTTTGAATGGAGAACTATTATGTTTTATTTTTAAACTTACAAAATCAATTCAAATTTTTTTAAGAGATTGATTCTGTGGAATCCACTTATGCCAACATACATTATTGAATTAAATATAGTAAACTATATTTAAATAAAAAAATTAATTTTCTAGGTCCACAATTTATTTAAAGGATAGATTATAAAATTAAATTTTGGTATATTGTATTTTTAAAAATGATTTTGTTAGATTTTTAAGAGATGCATTTAGCTAAAGTTTAAAATAATAATAAAAATAAAGTAAAACATAACTAAATAAATATCAATTTAAATTGTAATTGTCTTTTTTATTTATTTAAATTGTAATTGTTATTTTTTTCTTAATTTATTATTTTGAGCACTTTAAATTAATTAAATATCAACCATTCAAAAATTAAAATGGTGTTATGGAGGAAATACTTTATAGTTTGATTTTTGCCCTTTAATTTTTGTGTTTTTTCCCCTTCGAGTACACCTTTACTTTTTGTGTTGTTCCTGTTTTAATATTTTATTTTTTTTAAATCCAAACGTCATTTTTTAAAAGTATGATTTCAATAGATAAATAATATATCTTATTTTATAATGGCTTCATCTAAAAAAAATATTTTTAATTTTCAACAAACATAAGTAATTATAGGCACGTGAATGAATTGTGCTTCTTTTCCAGTTATTTTTTGTTGGTAGAGATTATGGTATTATATATAATTATCCTTTAAATATCGAAAAATCTTATGAATTTCCAATTCTATAAAGTTGCTTGAGAGAAGTAAAACTTGTGATATTTTTAAAGTTGAACGATAAAATAAAAAATTCTTAAAATTTTTAGAGATCAAAACAAAATTTAAACATTTTATTTTGTAATAAATTGAATAACTTTTAAACATTAACATCTAGAATTATTTTAAATATTCAAAGACATTATTTTGTCAACATATTAAAATATAAATATAGCATAAAATTTTTGAATAATTGGTTTAAAAATTTGAAAAATTTTAATTTAAAGTTTTATAACAAGAACAGTAAATTATTATTAAACATGTATTTTTTTAAATAAAATAATAATAAGAAACAAGAAAAAATTATCGAAGACAGTTATGTTTTTAAGAAGAAACCGGACGAAAAAAGAAATACCTACGTTATCTCCTTTTGGACCAATGAGCCACCCATGATGGTTACCTGTAAACTTGAATAATATATGTCGATTTTTAACCTAAACTTTCAATTTCATAGACTTGAAACTAAATTATGATAAGAATTTTTACTTCTAGCTAGGTTTTCGTTTGAATAATATATATATTTTCAATGGACTATAATAAAATTGTTTGAGATGAAATTGACAAAGGTTTTAGAAATAGATGGTGATAGGCATTATGGTTAAATTTGTGATTTTAGGCATTCGAGAGGTCTATTCCATGATCGATCTTGTACATTGATCTACTACACTTTAATTTTGTGCACTAATTAAAATGATTTAACATGCAATTTAGGCTTGTTTGATAATTATTTTATTTTTTGTTTTTTTAAATTTAACTTATACATTACTTTTCGCTAAATATTTCTTTACTCTGTTATCTACTTTCTCAAAATGTTTCCATAATATAAGTTAAATTTCAAAAAAATTTAGTGTATATATATCTATAATGTATTTAAATCGGTGAAAACATACCAAAACATTTTGAGAAGAATTAGACATGATTTTTTAAAAACAAAAGATTGAAAACAAAATTATTATCCTACTAGAGTTGAATAAACTATTAAAAACTTTTTAAAATACAAAGATCGAATAAATACACCCTTTAAAAGTCGAGTGGCCAAACGCACAACAAAAAAAATATATTTAGACATGGTTGAATGATGGTAAAAAACAATCCATTACAGGGTCGTATTTGATAATTGTAAAATATTTATTTTTACACCTAAGCTTAACTGCTAGTTTTTATTCTATAATTTTAATTTCATTAAATTGAATCTTGCAGGTACTATTGATAAATATTATTGCAATAGACTAGTATCATACGAATATTTGGGACAAAATTGACGATGTTTTTGAAAAAGACAAACTTTTGTTGAAATTCATGAGCTTTAGCTTTTAAGAATTTACTGGATGATTGATTGTCTTTTGAATAATATGCAGGTTTTTTTTTCATCATCCTTGAGTGAGTTTGATCAAAGCGAACATAACTCAGCAGTAATTTACATAATCTTTGACGTTGACTCTCACTGGTGTGGATGTAATTAGAGATGCCAATGAAATTTTGTAGGGATCGAGCGAAGATTCCCTATGAACACCCATAGAGGCGATATCAATCATCTCTAATTGTATATATGTCTTAGTCAGCAAAGAAATAGTTCACTTCTCTCACCAACTCAGTTATTTTAATCTAAGGTGGACCAGTGAATTGGATTTTAACCGTCAAAATTTGTCAAAGCTATCGTATAAGTTATTTAACGAACGAGGAAAACTCAATTCGATTGTAGCATAAAAAAACTGCGAACAAAAGGTAAATTGATTCGAAGAAGTTATAAAATTCATAAATGACCTAATTTTGATATGTGAGAGTGTATTAATCCTATGCAATAAATTACTTCAATGTGGTGTAATATTTTATCTTAAAGATTAGTGGATGACTTCGAAGTGGACGTAGATCCAATAAAGGATCAAACTATCATAATTTTTTTGTRTTTATTATTTCTCCCTACTTTATTGAGGAATTTCTCCCTACTATCATAATAAAGGATCAAAGGTAAATTCCTTCCTTTTCAATTTCTAAATTTGATATTGAGGAATTTGTGAATCGTCGTAAACTTTGATAGTTTATTTAGTTTATTACTTTAACGATAAATTAAGCATGCAACAACCCCTTTTATTGATCAGGAACCTCTCAAAGCACCAACAATGTACTAGTATATTTCATTGTTTCTACGATGGTTAACATTTATAATAGACCCGATCAAATACTAAATTCACTTCACTAGTTTATTATCAATCATGTAATATATGACTTAAATAAATAGTTTCAAGAGGACTTTTGCACCGATGATATGATAGCAAAGTAAAGGTAGTTAGGTGGGTAATTAGAAATGTCTTAGGTCCAATTCGAGGGAGAATTTTAGAATAAAAATTAGGCTGTATGTTTTAATCCTTAATATTTGAATATTTTTTCAATTTAGTCCCTATTATTTGTTGTATCCTTCCCGTCGGTAAATGTCAAATTGCCCTTTGATAAGTTTCAAGACATGACGAATCAAAATTCCTATAGACTTCATAAAAATGGGATGAGGAATTAGAAACTTGATTTCTTTCTCTGCATTTATGTCAACATTAAACTACATAAATTCATCGTAAACCAGCCAATTTTAATATTTATTGATGAGAGAGGTACAATTGGAAACAAGTTAAAAATATAAATAACAAAATTAAAACTTTTTAAATAAGAGAGGCTAAATTGAAAAAACACTATATATTTACCCTTAAACTAACAACTTACAAGCAAAAGAGGTAAAAAAAAAAAAAAGTTTAGCCCCAAGTCCAAAGGACATGGGGTCCGTTTTGTGCGCAGTGGAGAGTTGAGTTTTTTAAGTCCCCTAACTTCTCTCTCTCAATAGTCACTGCTGTGGTTCCTCCCTACAGTAACGAAACAACGCGCTGTAGCGAGAAAAAAAAGGCGAAAAAGAAAGAAGAGAGAGAGAGGAAAGGAAACGAAAAGAAAAAGAAAAGTCTTTGCATAAAAAAATAAAAGTCAGTAGTCCCCCTCGGCTCAACCCATAAGAAAAAAGGGGGCAAAAAGTTGAAGAAAACTCCTCGCGACGACGAGTTTTGATTTTGGTTTTGATTTTGAATTTTTTTATAATTTTCTTGCGCCTCTTTCCAATTTGGGATTGGATTAGATTTGGGTTTTACCAATTTTTACTTTTTCTTTGGAATTTCTCCGTGTTCTAATCCCGATTGCGCTTTTCCATTGGTGGGGTTGGTTCTGTTTTTAATTTTCAGCAGTTTTGGTCATTTGGGTCTGATTTTGTGTTATTGGGAAAACGAAAAAACTGCCCCGTAGGCCGTAGAGATGTTCCGATTCGAGCAGGAGAAGATCCGAAAACGAATTTGATATTTTCCCAATTGGTTTCTTTGATCAGTGGAATTCGTTTCAGTGCTCTTAGGGGTCTGATATGGCTGATGCTCTCTCTGTCATCCCTGCATTTGTGCTCCGCAACCTGTCTGATAAACTCTATGAGAAACGCAAGAACGCTGCTCTTGAGGTCTACTTCCCCTTCCACTTCATCAATTTCCATTTCTAGGGTTTTTGATTGTCTGTAATCTTCGAAGGGGGTTGCATTATGTGTGTAGGTTGAGGGAATTGTGAAGCAGCTTGCCTCGGCTGGAGATCATGAAAAGATTACGGCGGTTATCAATCTACTGACGAACGATTTCACTATGTCGCCGCAAGCCAATCATAGGAAGGTATGACATGAATGCRAAAAATAATGCTTGTAATACTTCCCGTTTGCCTCTGAGAGTTTGGCTATTCGGTGAAATCTTGATTTTCTCTTTTTTAACCTTCAATTTAATTTTGTAGGGAGGATTGATAGGGCTTGCTGCTGCAACTGTTGGCTTGACTTCTGATGCGTCCCAACATCTTGAGGTTAGTGTATTCTTTGGGAGGTTTCGTAATTGAGTTTTATTGTTTAGTTTGCTTCTATCAGACCATCATTGGCTTCCTATGGGCTATTGCCATTATTTTGTAAAATTAAGTACAGAGTCTACTTACTTCAAGTGTGCCGGAAGAGTTTATTGGTTAGAAGATGGATTTATTATTCTAGCTCTGCAGCTTGTAGGCTAAAACTATTTAACTGCAGAGATTCTGGCTACACTGAATAACATTTCTGCAGAGATCTGTTTACCTTCTCTCTTTATGTGGTGTAACTTTAAGGGCTTTTCCTCGTTCTTGATGTATAACTTATATCATTGCTATATAACTCAGACACAAGTTACCATTTTCTGTGATTATATTTGTTCTGTTTTCTTCCATATTGGTGGTGTTATTATATTATAATTTTCCCTTCTAACATGACAAATAAACCTTCCAGCAAATTGTACCTCCTGTGCTCAATTCTTTTTCTGACCAAGATAGCAGAGTGCGTTATTATGCATGTGAAGCTCTGTATAACATTGCAAAGGTGAGAAGAATTGTCAGAACTGTTAATGTATTTTTGGGCCTAAGCTGAATATGTACTTCTACTGCTGCAGGTTGTTAGAGGCGATTTTATAGTTTTCTTTAACCAGATATTTGATGCCTTATGTAAGCTTTCAGCTGATTCAGA